CCTCGCCACACCTTGCCTCGCCACACCTCGCCCCGCTACGCTTTAACACGCGTAGCGAATAAGCGACTTGGTTGGGACAATACAGGGAGAGAAGCAGAGCAAGGGGGCGAGGGCGAAGCAATGCAAGTGCTGACATCGTGTGCGTGTGCGCGCGCGTGTGTGTGTAACTAGAGCCCGCACTGAGTGCCGTGCCCCCGCATAATAGGGCCCTGCGACGCCATGCCGGCCCGCGCCACGCCGGTAGTGTAACGGACCGTGTGCGCGCGCGCACACACACACACACACACACACAGACGGGGCATCTCTCCCCAGAGGGGGCTGCCGCTGGGCTGCTGCCGCTGGACCCCCTATCCTCTCAGCTGGGCCGTACCCTCCCCTCTTCGCCCGCCGCGCCGTGCCAGGCTGACGGGCCCCGTTGGATTTAAACAGGGCGCCTACCCACCGTGACTCTCTGTGTGCGCGCTTGTGTGAGTGTGTGACTTCGTTGTGCGCGCGGAATGTGAGACATGATTCCCGTTTCGAGATGGAGCTTGGTCAAGGTTACTATATGTTGAAAAGGCGTAGTTTTTCACGAGGGGTGTCCAGCTTGGTAATCATTGGTCATTGGTAACCACTGGGTATCCACACACTCGCTCAAGAGCTCATGAGGAATATCTTAAAGTAGTAAATTGTTGATTACATGCACGGTTGTACAAATCTTGACTAAACGCAAACGCGCATACTGAAAATGACGAATTTCCATCTCTCACATGGTCATGATTCCCAATGATTCCCTGGTTTTAAAGCTGAGGGGTGCTGGCTGGTTCACCGAAATACTGGAGTCAGATATCTTACCCCCATGAGAGCGAGACCAGTGGTCCCTAAAATCTCGATCTCATGACAGAGCAAGATTATTATTCTCACTCTATTTGATTTGAGGCCGACATCGTCGTCCTTTCTCTTGCGCCCGGCACACAGGCTTAATCAGATCAGTGTGTAAAGTACGTAAAGTTCTCAGAGAATCGAAACATAAAATTGGATCCATACCTGATAGCCATGCTCTTGCTCTTCAGGTGGCCCCAGCGCGTGTTCATTTCGTCCAGCCTCCGTTGCAGCATGAGCGCATCGTCCTGGGAGGCCAGGCTGCCCAGCAGCTGCCGACCCCGTCCGTTGAGTGACGCGAACACGTCCTGGTGACCCTCAATTTCAGACTGCAAATCCTGCAAACAGATAAAAGCGCATCAGTTAGAATTGTTATATTGAAATAAAGTACTCTATAACAGTCCGCATTAAAAAAAAAAGTTAGATAACCTATTGTGCAAAGCACACGAATCCACACAGTAGGGAACGTGTTTGGGAACAAATGGAACATTTTTACTGAGAGTGACATAACCGGTGGGGAATATGACAATGAAGAATTGCACCAGCTCCAGCTACAGGACGACAATTCGCAGAATGAGAAAAGGAAATGAGACCATTCGACGCAAAACTATCTTGTTTCTTAATGAAACAGACGTTTCAGTATAAAATGTAAATAAGCCGCTTTGCTCAGCAAATAAGTGCTGCGTAAATATTCATGTTAAGCAGAAGAAATGCCAGCACATTTATGACGGGATATTAGTGCATAAATTCGGTTGTCAGTTGCCATGTCAGCCAGTATACGTTGTGCCTAAACCGTGCCGCTAACGTTTTGCATTATTTGCCGAGAACTCTAAGAAAATAATAAGCAACCGCGGAAACACCTTATAATTCCTTACTAACTACAAATATCCATTTTATAGAGCTAAAGGTTGTAGTTTTTAGACCAGAATTTTTTTTTCCAACCAGCTCTTTTCTTCTTCCCGTATGTTGACCTACATAGCGATGGTCTTCTTACTCTGCCCACCCCCTCCCATGTGGATAGTGAATACGAATAGGCGATAAAGTGATTCCTTTAAGGCCGGCTTCGGCTACACACTGTTCCGTTCCACCCCCTGGACTGAGATTGTACTGGCGACCTTTCCTACTACGTCGTTGTCCTTATACCCCCCTCCCTTTCCTTTTCTCTTCCCCCCCATTCCTGCCCTCCGCAGTTTGAAACCGGTCCACTTCCTGGACATGATAAAGTTACGCCAAGTTTCTTTCCATTTGGCTGGTGACACGTTTCTGCGTGCAAGAACGACTGTGGATCGGGATCGGTCGGAATCGATGTGGTTGGTCTGTGGCCCGTACATCCACCCCTCATTGGGAAGCCGAAGAAACGGCACTATACACGAAACGGACATTACACAATTGAAATGTGTACTGCAAATTTAAGAAAAGAAAAGAAGAAGCGAATCTGTCATTTTTTCCCGTCACCTTCCCACGAACCCTCTAGCCCTCCCCGCTCGCACCCCCTCTTATAAACATCTTCTACCAAAGCCCCAGCGGCAGGTATATCTCTCGCCACGTAGTTAGTTCGGGCGGAGGCGTGAAATTAACCGCGTTGATGAGCTTGCACCGCAACGGGGGGTAATGACACGAATTAACGCCTAATTCCCCACGTCACGACCTCTCCCCCCCCCCCTCGGCCATGTCCTCTGGGTCGGGACCGAGGGGGTAGGGGTTGTGGTGCAATGAACACGATGGGAAGCAAGTTCGAATAAAGGTAGTGCATTCTTCGCTTCTCCCAAGTTTCAAAGAAAAGAACTCGGCACTGGCTTGACTCGTCTTCCCCGTAGACAGACGACCTACCTCAAACCTACCCGTAATCTCTTCCCCCTCCCCGGTCTTCCTGGGTAGCATCAGGAAGGAGGCAAGGAAGCATTCAGTGGAAAATTGGCAACGGCAGGCTACACGTATCACCCTCGGTCGTTGCTCAGCCAGCAGGAGTGCAGTAGAAGGAAAAGAGCTCTCCTCCTCCCCCTTCTCTCTCCCTCCACCCTGTCTCTCTCTCCCCCTCTCCAAGGAACAAATTTCAAAAATTCAAGAAAATATCAAAATATGTCTTTGCTTTACTAGGCCAGGGCAGCAGAGCCCCTGCAAAACGCAGGGTAGGCCACCCTCCAACGAGGAGTGAAAGGCATTGCCTAACTTCAAGGCGTTACGTAGGAAACACTGGAACGCATTCAAAAAGCACGAGACAAAAAAGATGTCTTTGTGTTCAAGCAGTTTTGCAAAAAAGTGATAATTGGCTACTAGCAACAATACGTTGATTTACCGTGCAGCCAATGCATCACTCAATACACAGTTCACTCATTCCCTTTTAGCTTTCATGGGATTTTAGTATCATTTTTCATCTTTGGTTGTTAGGGAGGGAGAGAAAGGGAAAAAGTGGGAAGAAAGGAGAGAGCATAATGAAAAATTCTGTCAAGGTTATATGCCTGGGCTAGGCCTTTGGTTGGAGGGGGAGCATGGGCGTTCACTCTTCACAATGGATTTTCAAGATTTCCTACTGCGTTTCCTCTCGCCACTGCCGCGTCCCCCCAAGAGGCGGGCCACTCGAGCAGAGTCCGGCGGGGGATTCAGCCAGCAGTGACGATGCCCCGCCTGAGCCACCAGGGACCCCGGCCCGGCGCAGCGCTCCTCCTCCTCACCGCGACGGAGTGGGCCACAGGGGCCGG